AATTGTATTATAACCCAAATTGAACTTGTTTTCGTTAGACATTCAAATAAAACTAGTTCGATATTCGTATTAACATGCATTCACGAGAATTTAGATTTTTGTTCTTTTGGAAATCTGCAACACAAGTGGGTCGTGAAGCAAATGTGTCGATTGTACAAATGCTAATAGATATAGCTACATTTTTAAAGAAATATGATTAATCGATTATTAATTTTATTACCTTATGTTAAACCAGAAAATCCACTTAAAAATTTTACAGTTAGGTACATGTAGCTTTATGTTAAGTAGTTTTAGACACCTGGAGATCTTAATTTTTGCGACATTCAAAGATGGAAGATTTCAAGACTAAGGACTCACGGCGCGATTTTCTTCTGCGCCCGCTGCGATTGCGGGCCCGCAGCTTTTGTTGAATGTCGCGGGGAACCTAACGGGTTACCGGGGCTCCGGCTCGACGTGCAGGCAGTGGCGTGCAGTCCATATAGGCGAAAAGGCATTGCCTACCTATAAATATCGTGAATATATAACATACATATAATGTACAAACGCGTTTATTAAAATTCAATAATATAATAAAAGTTTGTAAAAAAACGGCTAACATAAATACGCGCCTTTGTAAAGTAATGAATGCGCCCCGCACGCACCACGCATGCGCCACTATTCCTTAAATCTTGGTTGGCAGTAGTGACGTCACAAAAGAAATGTACCAAAAGTATGCACCGCGCATGCGTGAAGTTCACGACCATAGTCACGGTACAGAATAACCATTCATAATTATATTACGCGATTCCTGTTGATTGACAAAATGTTTGCAACTAAAAAATTAGAGGACCGTTCGTTCATCACTTGGAAAACGATCGTATTTTATTAAGAATTCTAAATACAATAAAACAACAACAAGTTATTGTATTTTTAAAAACAATTAAATCATAAAAGGATTTAAATTGATAAAATTTGTATGTATATCGTAAAGTACTGATGAATGGAGTACACCAGCGCCATCTATTGAATTTTTTGTTGAAACTTCTGAACTCGTTCGATATAATGCGAATGTATTTTTATAAATGCGTATTTAACAAATATTTTTCAAGTGTTTTAATTAAAGTTTAACATTTTTACGCGTTGTCGGTTTATAGAAATTTTAAACGAGGAGTTGACTTTATTATTATAAAAGTTAAAAGGAAGTTATTGATACGTCAAGATGGCGCCATTTACAACGTTTCAAATTATATGAATGAATGTTTTTTAGTATGAAATATTGGTTTAAGACGATGATGCAATTTCATTTGACTTACTAAATTAACGTTTGTTTTTTTGAAATTAAACGCTGCGTTACCTTAATTTTTAAGCTACATTTTTTTTATAATAAACACTCAATTGACTATTGGTAATGACTTCAATTCATTTCCAATGTTTTCGGCCATATTGTTTTCATGTGATGTGCGATCGCTTTGTTTATGTTTTCGTTTAAATTATTAGGAATTAGTTTTAAACATAAAGTTGCATAAATGTGTAGTAGTAGTTAAATATATGTGTAGGTTTTTCAAATAGTGTATTTGTTTCTCAGTTTCTAGTACAAGTACCTATATTATTCGATTGTGAAGTGTGTGTGAATAATAGGTAATTTTATGTGTTTGTTGAAAGTAAAAACAGTAAGATTTCGCAATGTCCTTTATCGGACTAGATTCAGGTAATGACCATAGGCAGAGGTGTACTCGAGTTACGAGAATTGACCCAAGTAAAAGGTAGGTAATGTAAATATGTACTATAATGGATCTTTTATTTGATTTTCTTGTTTATTGTTTGATAATTCTTAAAAATATCAACTTAGACTTCGGGTTGTACTGATTCACATATTAATTTATTATTAATATTTATGTAATGTAGTAATAACAAATGTACCGCATAGACTCGGCCGGCTCGGCCACAGCCGGCCGCGCTTGTTATTGTTTTGTTTGTTGACATAATGTAGGTACCTACGCTCTTAAATTCGTAATATATTATGATTTTGACCAGATTGATTAACCTTAACAATTCCATAATGAAATTTGGTTCATCAAATTTATGCTTCATTATTAAAATAAATAATAGATCTTTCATTATTTGTAAGTTTTGTTGGCTTATTCAATAGCTGATGAAGTACTTCACAAAAAATACGCGAGATGTCAGTGTATGTAATTTGGCGAAACAATACACCACAATATTCTTGAACGCACTTTTCAAAATATATTATGTACATGTACCTATCTTGTGTGAGCATGATTGTATGACCGGCGGGGGGGAGGGGTTTAATCATACGATATTTAGTTGCCTACCCTGTCTCGAAAACCTGTGCACGCCACTGCGTGCAGGAGAAGGAACGGGATGGTTTTTAGTCAGTAAGAGTCTTACAGTCCCTCCCGCCTCACCCAGGCGGGAGCAGTTAATTAGATGATTTCCCCCCCTTAAAAAAAAAATAAAGCCTTTGTTGAATACATGCAGGCGCGCGCGCGGCCGCGGTCCCTCAGTCGCACCGCGGGCGCTTGAGAAACTCGCTTCGTGTGTCTTAAGCCTTACATTTCATTTATTTTTGGCACAAAAATTTGGCATGGTTTCCAACCACCGCAGCTGATGTAAGCTAGGATCTATAATAAAAACTAACTAGTAAAGTGCAGAATAAACAAAAGTTATCCAGGGATTTGAAAATAACTGTTCAGTTCTAGATGGCACAAAAACCTTAATTTAAATTAAGTCAGTCCTTAAGAGTGACTTTGCACCCTTCATTTTCATATTTTCATTATAATTGGAATTCTTAAGGTATATGACATAATTGTTATTGTTAAGTAAATTTGTTATTAATTACCTATCATCAACTGCCTGACTGCCTCGTTGGCCGAGTGGTCGCAAGTGCGACTGCCGGGCAAGGGGTCTCGGGTTCGATTCCCGGGTCGGGCAAACTATTGCTGGAATTTAAAAAAATCTCAGAACTAGCACGGAGTCTGGAAATGTGTCTGGCTGTCGGGTATATGACAATAGGCTCACCATCTATTACATGGGACTAATAATATAAACGTGGGTGTTGCAGTTTACATGGCATTAGGTGGCGTCTACTTGTGACATTGTGTTATCATTAGGCCTCTTGTCAAGCAATGGACATTAATCACCCAGCTTGCTCAAAGTGAATTAACAATCATAAACTAAAACAATCCCCAAACTTGGCAACTGAATGACTGAAGTAAGGATTGTAACAAAATTAAAAGATGAAGACAGTTTTAGGACTGGTCCGTGTTTCAGTGATCATAAAACACGTGGCTTAAGCAGTTAACAAACATATAGACATATCATAGTTATAATAATTGTAATCTACATAAAAAACGCAATGTCAAAGATCGTGTCTATAAAAAGGTTTCGCCATTCAACAATGAACTCAGTTGCAATTACTTTAAGTGCCTAGTATTGTTTTATATGCACAAATTAATTGCTTGAATAATGCTACACTTAAGTAATTTTATTTCTTTCCTTGAACGTTTGACATATCATGACAACATAGCCTTTTATTCTCTGAAGAGAATTTTGTATTACATCAGCAGATATTTTTAAGCCCAATGATTCATGGAGAGAGCTTGTTTTTATTCGTTCTTAACCATAAATATGAGTCGCGGAGAACCTAACGGGTTACCGGGGCTCCGGCTCGAAGCGCAGGAAAAGGAACGGGGTGGTTTTTAGTCAGTAAGAGTCTGACACTCCCTCCCGCCTCACCCAGGCGGGAGCAGTCATTCGATGATTTTCCCCCCTTAAAAAAACCGTAAATATGAATTACATTTTGGTAGACCCAATAGTTTTCCTTACTCGACGTTTGATATTCCCGATTGTACATAAAAGCAAGCAAAAACCAACCTAAACCTAAAAAACTGAAGGAGTTTTTTTACTCCTCTATAATTCTGTTACTGGTCACTTTGTCACTAGGTAATGTCCAGAGGCCTTAGTACGAGTTTCTTTTTCGTTTTTTTAAAGTAATCGAAACGAGACGGCGGCGGCGTCCGGCGCTCTGATTGGTTGGTTCATTAGAGGCGGCCAATCACAACGCAGGACGCGTACTCTTTACGAATACTTTAAATGAAAAAGAAACTCGTACTAAGGCCTCAGTTCACATGCCGCTGCTTTTGAGTCCATAGTGAGTATTTAGATATGTCTGAACACCAGAATACTAGCACAGTAAAAAGGCATTAAAGACAAAACAGACTCGAAACACCTTGGAATCTTGGATATATTATAAAGGCTTTTTTTTTAATGGAGGAAAACCATCCAACGACTTCTCCCGCCAAGGGTGAGGCGAGAGCGAGTGTCAATTGGTATTGAATAAAAACCACCCTGTTCATAATCCTGCGCTTCGAGACCGGGGCTCCACCCGGTAACCGACTAAGTCTTCCGCGGCCCCATCTTATCTCACCTGTGCAGCTGTGGTGCAATGCCTTTTGCGCGCACCTCAAAGAGCCATCAGAGCTTTGAGGTGCGCGCAAAACGCATTGCATCGCATCGTACGCTCGGGTCTGGTGGACGGCGAGCATACGGTGATTTTATGAGGACTGGAAGAAAATCTTTATAGTACAACAATCATTCACCCAGTTGTACAGTTTCTTTTTTGTGCCTTTAGGCGTAATTCATACTGTCTCCTGCGTAATTCACCGAGGGAAGTGGAAACTATCATTTTTTTCTTCTCCTCTTATATATCTTCTGATTCACTTCGTTGCGGGAACCAAGATAGTTATTCATGTCCCTGGGACGCGCCGGATTTCAGTGTTTATTTATTTATTTAAATAGGTATAGGTACCAACAGCTTCTGTATACATAGTATTAAGTGATAATGAAAGTAACAATAGGTATTAGGCTGTATTAGTGTTCCGGTGTTTTCATGGTTGTATCTACTGTAGATCTTGGCTTACAGGAGTTGCAGCGGTTTTGGAGGTTGTGCCGGTTGTCCCATTTTTAGTACAACAATCATAATGTTTCTTTTCTAATTCCAGCTCGAGCCTACCTAGAAAGAACATTGATCTCTGCCAAAGGAATGGTGGAGAGAGCAAAGCAAAGGATAGACAAACTGTGCACCTTTAAAACTTTGTTGCCTGAGTATTATCCAAAATCAGTAGCCAAAGGACATTTTGATTCTTTAGAACCTATTGTGTAAGTATTGTTTAATCTTATACTTCTTATGCTCTTTTTTATTGTCTTTGGTTAATTTGACCGCGCTAATCTCCGAAACTACTGGTCCGATTTGAATAATTGTTTTTGTGTTGGATAGAGCATTTATCAAAGAAGGCTATAGGCTATACATCACGCTACGATTAATAGACGCTGAGTGGGTAGTAGTAGTAGCGCGGAAGTAGCTAGTTTAAAATTAGATTTACAATGTTCTTCATTAACCAATTACTCCCCTCCTCAATCTCCCCAATTCCTGTATTGGCAGCAATCCTCTCCAAATTCCCAAAAAGCCGATAACGCAATTGTAACGCCTCTGGTGTTCCGGGTGTCCATGGGCGGTGCCAATTGCTTTCATCCAGGCGACCCGTCCAGGGAACAGAGATAGATTCACATAGGTTTTTAATCCACAGGACTGTTGGCTAGTATAAGATAATTATACGCATGTGTGCAACACCCAATTTTCACCATTTATGGTACTAGATCCATACAAGGCGTAAATCAGTTGGTTGTGTAACTATATTGTATTAACCTTTCCTGCTCTTTTTTCCTTATCTTTTTTACAAGCATTTTTGCTTTTATACTTAGGTACTTACGTGTCTCAATTAGGAGCACGGAAAATGTGACTTAGAAGTGTAATTAAAAGAATAAATTAAATGCTTAGCAACAGTAACAATATTAATTTGTTTTTATTCTATGACAGCGGACTTGTATTCGACTGCAAAACACTTCATAAGAGATCTTAATCTTCACAATTATGATTATGTTTATTTATTTGTCCTTCTTTCATTTAGTCTACTGGAGGCCAGACAATGAGAATGGTTACTTTCTATCGTTGTTTGAATATTAATCTCCAGGTGTCGAGCTCACTAGCAGTATTTTATTAGTGAAGACCATCGCCTTGAGTTATTACTCAAGGCTATATGGTTAAATAAGGTTAAGGCAATACTTGATCATACCGAAGTATGACATATATGTATTATAACTATCGTGAGACATACGAGGAACTCGAATAGTTTCAAGCCATACTAGAGGCTCATATTCATGTCGCGACAGTCGCTGCATCGTGGATCGCGGAATGCTGCTCATGAAAATGAAAATTAAAAAAAATATATACATATATTGTAATACCTGATTAAATTAGGAAAGTCTGTAATTCAATAGGTACTGATTTTAAGGGTTTGTGCACTTGACGTCGCGTCGTGTCGAGCGGGCGAGTTAAACTGTCAAACACCGCGAGGACACCGGTGACCGCAACCTATTGTTCTTTAATTGTCGCGGAGAACCTAACGGGTAACCGGGGCTCCGGCTCGACGTGCAGGAGAAGGAACGGGGTGGTTTTTAGTCAGTAAGAGTATGACACTCCCTCCCGCCTCACCCAGGCGGGAGCAGTAATTCGATGATTTTCCCCCCTTCAAAAAAAATTGTTCTTTAATTGTGTCTATAATGACGGTACTCAACGAGTTAATAAATGAGCCCGATCGCGATGATATATCAGGAACAATCGTAGAATATTTTCTTATTGCTATGGAAGGGACATGTCACACAATACTTTTTATCATCGTTGACGACAGGGAGAAGCCGTTTTCTAGTAGTCGACGTCTTCTTGCTGTTGTTAATGATGATAATATTATTGTGATGACTTGAGATGGGTTTGTCATATTCTCCACGATAGTAGAACAGGTTGGAGATTGTAGTCTAAAAGTTAAAAGGTTTATCAAAGAATACTACTGATCGGTTTCTTCAAATCTGAAGTTCCTTAGCTGGCTCTTATGACGCTAATGTCATCAATCGTTTTTTTTTCTTCTCTAATATTACTTTCTGATTTATTTCGTCTCGGAATTCAAGACAGAGACACCGAGGGAAGTGGAAACTATCGTTTCTTTTCTTCTCATCTTATTATATTTTCTAACTCACTTCGTTGCGGGAACCAAGACAGTTATTCGTATCCCTGGGACGAGTCGGACATCAGTGTTCCGGTGTTTTCATGGTTGTATCTACTGTAGATCCTGGCTTACAGGACTTGCAGCAGTTTTGAAAGGCAGTGGAAGGTGTATCCCAATAAAAATAATGTTAATGTCGTTTCCATAAGAATTATATTTATAAAAATCTCTTCACGTTTATAGGCACCAGTGGTTACTTTTTCTTTATCTTGAGATATTAACTGGACTTTTTACTTTCAGGCAATATGGACTCTTACCTAAATTAACTAAGGAACATTATCGTGTGTCGCTGTTTAACGTGAAATCAGACGATTATAACTCTGGACATATTCACCTTTTCTATAAATATGTTGTTATGGTAAGTTTAAGTTGATTTCCAATCCCCATTTTTAGGGTAGAAATAATCCAATGTCTTCTCCCGCCCGGGTGAGGCCAGAGGGAGTGTCAGACATTTATTGACTAAGGGTGTTTTTAATATCGTGCGGATATCATCACGCGTGCGGGATTGCCCCGCATGCGTAAGCCCCGCAAATGTCCTTTTCATAAAAGTATTTATTATAATGCGTGGAATACGGACGCGGGACTATAGACTATCGGGTTTCACGCTGCGTGAAATTTTCTGCATGCGGGGCAATACCGCACGCGTGACGAAATCCGCACGATATTAAAAACACCCTAAAAGCTACTCAGTTCCTACTCCTGCACTTCGAGCCGGAGCCTCGGCAACCCGTTAAGTCTTCCGCGGCTTTGTATCGGCATCAGCCCTGTTGTGCCCCATCTGTGGTGGTCTGATGGCTCCTTGAGGCGCGCGCGGAACGCGACGCGCCGCACGCTCGGGCCTGGTTCTGGTCGGGCGGCGAGTCACCCGAGCTCGCAGTCCACAGGCCCGTGCTTACGGTGGCCGGAGATCGTCTCGCGATATCAGTCGCCCGGAGTGTCCCTCGCGACGGCCGGGTCGTAAGGACGTTCGTTCCCTCACGCGCTCCGCCTCCTCCTTAGCTAGCATGACTGCTTCGCAAAAGGAGGAGACGGCATCCCAGTCCCCCTCGCTCCATACCATGGTCTGAACTAGAGCCGGATGCGAGAGGTCGCCGTCGCCGATCACATTCCTGAGAACACGGCGGTCCTCAGTCCACGCAGGTCACACCGCCACAGTATGTTCCATCGGGCATTTCCTCCCGCCCAATCCAAAACAGGAACCTACCGAAACTTCCGTGTCCGGTAAGCACCTGCGTCAGGCGGTAGGTGACGACGCCGTAGCGTCTCTCAAGCCACTCCTCAAAGAGGGGACTTACCGCTGTACTGACAGCGTGCTCAGCCTTCGGTTGCGACAGTCGTTGCTGCCATTCCGCCATGAGATCGCGCCGGAGCTCATCCCGCCACGCACCTATCTGGCGTGGCAGCGGAGTTTCGCCCCAGCGACGTGCCTCCGCGCGCAAACAAAACGCGCGCGATCACCTTTGCCTCCAGATCCCACGGCGGTAATCCGGCAATAATAATTATGCCTAATGTTTCTTTTTTCATTGTTTGTAATTTTATTATTTGTAAACTTCATTAGCATGAACTATTAAACACTGAATTATAATAGCCTTGAAAGCCCAGCAAAAGTATAAAATTATGCATAGATAATTTTTGTTACAGATATGCGAATATATTAAAATAAACGACTATAACAATGGATTTGTAGTCGCATTGGACTTTAGGGACGCGAATATACTTACTTTCGTAACAAAATGTACGCCAATGGATTTACGGCAAGTCATCACTTTAATGACGGTGAGTAGGTATTATAATAACTTCATTTATTTTACACACACACACATATACACTTTTCGTCTCAATTTGACCCCTGCTCGTATGAAAAGGCAACAATTCTAGAAGGAGATTGCTCACAGATATAAGCAAATACTTACTAATAGGGTAGATGCCTAATTTTTATTTTAATGTCCGTCAGGTAGATTATTTTAAATCATTAGACATGTATTTTTTATTTCCTTACAGAAACGAATACTATCGACGATTTGAGATGTCGCGTGACGTTACTTCTATATACATTTTATACGTAGAAATAACGTTTTAGCCGCCGCTCCTAAACTTTGATTCGTTTTATCTAAGTATTGTTTTATTATACAACAAAAATAAAAATATATCTATATAAATAAAAATCAATTTCCGTTCGTTAGTCTCGCTAAAACTCCAGAACGGATGAACCGATTTGGGTAATTTTGGTATTGAAATGTTCGTGGGAGTCCAGGGAAGGTTTATAAGGTGAGAAAAAACATTTATAGGCGGTACGAAGTTTGCCGGGCCATCATCATCATCATCATTAACAGCCGGAAGACGTCCACTGCTGGACAAAGGCCTCCGGGCCAGCTAGTGTTTAATATTTTCTCATTACCTAATTGACGGACTAATTAGATTTTTAATTTTCATACTGTGTTAATATCCCTAGTTTGACCCCTGGCCGTATTAAAAGGCAACAATTCTAGAAACAGATTGCTCTCGAATTAAAAAAAATACTAGAGCCTTTAGTTCATGCTGTTAGATTTTTAACCGACTTCAAAAATCGTTTTTAGTTTGACCCATATGTATGTATGTATAAGGGCGATAATCTCGCAATTGGAACCGATTTTGATTGTCGGTGTCATAAGTGAAGTCGGTGCCATAAGCTCATATCATAATGATATAACTTAATGGCCACAAAATTGTGAATTAGGTACCTATTAAGGTTTTAATGAATAATTTTGTATGGAACTTATGGCACCGACTTCTAACCTATCAGTGGGTGGGTAACCTATCAGTACAAATAATAGTTATTTTTTGCTTTTTAGTTTTGACTTTTTGTTTGTTATTAGTTTTTGGTTTTTTGAAGTCGGTTTTTTAATAATGTTACTCATTATCCAATTTAAAAAAAAGAGGGGGCTGAATTCAGTTTTTTTAAACGTTGTGTATAAAAGAATTATTAATACAAGTAACTCTAAATTGGTCAATACAGTTGGTAAAATGTTTGTTATTTATTCGAGAAAATCAACAGACAATTAATCCATAACGCCTGGCGTCATACGTCGAGCAAAATTCTAGTCTCCGTGCTGTTGCTATGAATTTATATGTATATTAATACATATATACATACATAACTTCACGCCTGTCTCCCATGGGGGTAGGCAGAGACTAGCGAACGCCAATTACTATGATTTCTACATACATCTTTTGTAAATCTTTCTTTCTTTCTTTATATAGTAAAGATATTTAAATATTACTAAATGCCTGTTTAATGAAATAAAATATAAAACTTTGACTGCCTCGTTGACCGAGTGGTCGTAAGTGGGACTGCCGGGCAAGGGTCTCGGGTTCGATTCCCGGGTCGGGCAAAATATTACTGAATCTTTTACAAAAAAAAATCTCAGTAGTAGCACGGAGTCTGGGATTGTGTCCGGTGTATGGTAATAGACTCACCCCCTATTACATGGGACTCATAACATAAATGGTGAAAAGTGAGTGTTACTTATTTATTTTATTTATTTATTAACACTTCTGTATAACAAACATACGATGGCGGACTTAATGCCGGGTGGCATTCTCTAACAGTCAACCATGGGGTGATGCAGAGATGTGCAACAGTAGGTGTAATAGGTATAATGGTTTATGTGAAGCTTTGACTGCACGGTTGGTGCGGTGGCTGGGCAACCGGCTGCCGTGCAACGTGTCGCGGGTTCGATTCCCACACGGAACAACACTTTGTGCGATCCACAAATTGTTGTTTCGGGTCTGGGTGTCATGTGTATGTGAACTTATATGTTTGTAAACGCACCCACGACACAGGAGGTAATCCTAGTGTGGGGCAACGTTTTTTTAAAAAAAAAAATAAAAAAATTAGTTATATATAATTTATATCTAGGATAGTTTTACAACCTTGGGACAGGCATTGGAGAATAGGGGGTACTGGTTGATCTATTTAAAAGATCTGATTCTCCTGCAGCCAGTAGGGTGGTTTTTCCTGGACACCCTGGATTTTCCTCCACAAAAGTTAGGCAGATTTTGAATGAGACCCTCGTAATAAAAATTATAATCTTACCAAAGAACGCCAATAATGCTGTCCTGTTAGCTAATGAAGGCAATCCATCTTGTCCTCTCATGAAGAGTTTGGATAATGTTCTGGCGCCGGGTCTGTCGACGCCTGCCATCATGTAGACTCCATCAGCGTATGATGCTGGAGTTTTGCGTGTGAGACGACTACCTGTAAACAAAGAAAAGTGTTATTAATGCTATGAAGGTATACCAACGTGTAAAGACGACATAGTCATCTACCAACCTATTTGTCACCAAAAATTATTACTCAGTCACTCGAAGGTTTGAATTGATGTTTGTTAATTAACCGTGTTAGAATTATTGGAGAGATCTGGATGAATTATGTTCCGTTAAAATATCGTTGTATTATCGAAACTTAATCTTTACATTGCGCATTGCAGTAGTGAAGTAATATGTATAAGGAGGATTAATAATAATTAACAATGGCATTGCACGCTATTTAATTTTATGAAGATCATCAAACAAGTAGGAAATCATATCGGCATATGAATAAGTAATAAATATTCTAATGCAATATTGGGTCATAAATTTTATTTAACGACGATTAACAATATTTTTAATGTGAGTAATAAAATAATAACTATTAACGTCGATTAATGTTATCAAAGTTATTTAAAATGGGTTTTCATTGAAATTATTTTTGTCTTTGTTATCGTATGTGCATATGTACGGTTTTTGCCGTGTCGCCGTATGTAATGTTTTTGATAGATAGATAAACTAGAAACTAGATGTAATAAATAATTAATTATAGCCTTTCTACGTTGCATTTCTTTATGTCATTTATTAACCCTTTAACCGCCGACAACGTAATATTACGGTTTTCGAAAGCTGTGTCCGAATCGCCACATACGTACAATCACGTTATTTTATTAAAAATCTTCTTATAGTGCACAAACTCCATATAAAATGTGTCAATTTCAAGATGTAGGGTATAATCTTTATTGTTATGGATATTTCTCAATGTTTTGAGTGATAAATACTGTGAAATTTGAGGTTTAATTAAATTGTGGTCACCGTCTCCATTATCTGTATCGCCAATCACGTAATTTTACGAGTACTAGGGATGGGGCGAATTCGAAAAATACTTAATAGGTTGTCTAAGAACAAACAAGGCACTATAGATATTACTGTCACTATTTGCAATGAAAGTGTATACTTTCATTAGAAAATAACCATAGTGTTACTTTGATGCAAGTATTTGTACTAATTAAAATGTATTTAAGTTTAAAATTATTTAATATTTATAACAATAATATAAAAATTTCATAACGCAGAACCGCACTAGTGCGGACAATCGCCGGTCGCCATCATCGTAATATTACGTGCGGCCAAGGAGATTATAGCGCTGTATTGTGAGTTGCCTTAGCGCCGTCACCGTAAAATCACGTTAAACATTTATCACTCAATGCAACTAGTGTTGTAAGCCCTTTTTTGGGTTTTTGTTATTTCTCAAATAAATCAACACAGTCAAAACCAAATGTGTCCATTATGCAAAGTTAGAAGATGGTGACGCAAAAGTTTTTGATCAGAGACCAAGTGATCCACGAAATGAATACTTTGCATCTTTAAAACCTTTTGAGCTGGAAACCGTACTGTCGGAAATCCGCTCAGAAGTTTACATGAAATTATTAAATTTAATACGACATGCTCGTGGAGCATCGTCACCGTCGCCAGCAGGAGAACGGACGACGCCGTGCCCATTTCCCGAATACACATTTTCGTATACTTCGTTTGAAGATTGAAAATTTTTAGATTATTTATTAAGTAGGTAAATAAAACATTGATTTTAATTAATAAAGAATATATGCATCGATATTAAGTGTTCCCAACACTGTTCCAACTTATACCTAAAGTGACGTGGCGCTGGAGGTAAGTTGAAAGTTCAGAATCTTGGCGGTTAAAGGGTTAAATAAAAATCGCGGGTTACTCACGTGAATATACTGAGAATAGCTCTACGAGTTGCGAATCACAGAGGGATTCTTCCTTATGAGCAGCTTGAGCGGTAGCGGCCGTGATTTTTAGTTATTTTAGTATGTCTCACGATAGTTATTATAAAAACATCATAAATTATCACAAACTGATAGCATATAAGTGGCCACTGCTAACCAAAGGCCTCTTCTCGCATGGAGAAGGTTTGAGCATATAACCTCTTTTCTGTAGATATTCTGTGTCGCGTAAATTTGCGTTCCGACAGTTCACAGGTTAATCACCACACTTGCTCAATGCGAGTTGACGATTTCAAACTTATAATTAGAATTTATAAGTTAGGTGTCGTAAAACATCGCGAGGAAACCTGACGCCTTAGTACGAGTTTGTTAAACGCTTAAGTATTCAAAACGAGTACGCGTTCGGCGTTGTGATTGGCCGGTGCCAATGAACCAACCAATCAAAGCGCCGAACGCGTTCTCGTTTCGATTACTAAGCATTTAACAAACTCGTACTAAGGCCTCCAGGTTTCCTCACGATGTTTTACGACATCGTTTGTCAGTGATGTCTAGATAATCTTAGAAAGTATATAACTCGGAAAAATTACATTAGTACTTGCCGTTGGTAGGTTTCGAACTCGCACTAGTGTAAACTATTGTCATGTCAAAATACACTTATAGTATCGCGACGTCAATATTTGTTAATACTGGCTAGTTTTCGAGCTCTCGAAAATCTCATCTCTGTATGTGCCAGGCCTTATCACATAGGATTAGTTAGATAACTGCTAAAAGTGATTATTACTTTTATACATACTTACATATGACTGCCACGCTGGCCGATTGGTCGCAAGTGCGACTCGGGTTCGATTTCCGTGTCGGGCAAAGTATTACGGTCCTATTAAAAATAAAAATCAGTAGTACCATGACGGATTTATTCCATTCTAATACCAAAAACTAATACCACTGGTATTTGATTCAACTCTTATTTTTTTTCTATTCCGAACGGATACTACTTTTTAAATAATTTAATTTAATGTACGAACGAATACCAACAACTTGAATTTGGTACAGTCAGCGCAGTCAAACCTAATCAAAGTAAATTTGTTTTTCAATATTTTTATGTAATCGAGAGCCCTGAGCCTTTTGTGCAGTTATATACTATCCACGGAGATCTGGGAAGTGACGAAGATCACACTCGTATAGTTCCTCTTACAAAAAAACAGAAGAAACATTCAAAAAATTATTTGAAATTTTGAAACAAAACATTCCTGGGTGGGAACCCGTAAAATTTTTAACAGATTTTGAACTAGCCGCAATGAACGCCATTACAATTGTTTTTCCGTCAGTTGTGATTAACGGATGCTACTTTCATTATTCCAAAAATGTATGGAAAAAAGCAAAACAGTTGGATCTGACAAAAGATGCTATCACCCAAAGACACGTTAGACTTTCAGCTTTACTGCCTTTACTTCCTCGGAAATTCATATCAGAAGGATGGTGCTACACAATGGAAGACAGTCCTGATACTGACGCCATTCAAACATTTAATGACTACATGGTGTCACA